CTTAAAGGTGGGGTGGCACTGGTCCCTGTAGGTGGGGTCCTGCTGGTTGACCCACGCCCCCGCCCGGTAGCAAGGGCTTGCCTCTGCCTCAGAAATTCCTGATCAATGCGGGGCGTGTTAGACATAGTTATCTTGAGGACATCCTCAACGTCTAGAGATTGCAGGATTTGAAAGTCAGGCCACGAATCTCTCTCCAAAGTCCCCACCTCGGCGTGTGAAGGAACCAAATCCTCTTTAACCCCGAGCTCCTCAACTTCACCCTCTACTTCTGCCTCCACAGCCCAGTCGGGGTCTTCCTCCAAGTTCTCCTCGTCCTCTTGCCTCACTGCCTGATCGAAGAGTTCAGACCACCGCGAAGGCTCGAAAGGCTGGGGAAGCTGTGAAAACTTTTTATATCCAGGAGTGTAATTCAAGAAGATGTGGCCAGTCCGGTCGAACCCGTCGTCACCAGTAAATCTTCAAACAGTGACTAGGTCGATAAAGTTTACCAAGGACCGAGGTGGAGGAGCTGTTTCCCGAGGGGAGACGTCTGCACACAAACAAAAAGAGAGGGGAGGGAGTTATGAACACTGGTAAAAAATCTTAAGAACAAAATAATAGACCCAAAGAAGCCAACGTACTTGTCGTTCTCCATTCCAAAGGGCATAATAAGCCGTTGTACTCGGGACCGACATCCCTCTTCCAAGATCCCTTGAAGATGAGTAGGTCATCCTTGTACCCCTTGTCCGAGTTGGAAAGGTGAGTTACGAGGTACATGAATGGGTCTCTGGCTTTGAGGTAGAAGTTTTGTTGAGGCATGACTCTCAAGAGGGAGTAGCAAAAGAGGATATCATTCAGCCCAACATTTACCCTGAGACGCTTGTTGAGCTCTAAGACTCCCATAATTATTCTGAAGACATTAAGGCAACACTGCCTGGGGAATAGGTGGAAATGGGAGAGGAACTGGAGGAGTAGAGGGGGCAGAGGGAACCTAATTCCGTCCTCTATGACGGCTTTGGTATAAAATGACATCTCATCCTCGGCCCCCGAGGGTATGTGAATGCACAGCCGAGTCATAATCCTCTATGTCTACATATGGGGGATGTTGTACTTGACCCTAAACCCATTAATTTGCTCGCCCCCCTTTACTTTATACTTTCCTGGCTTCGAAGAACTGGCCTGAGGATTCTCGGGGGTAGGGCGACGACGGGGGCATCTCCAAAAAGTGATAAAAAGTGAAGGAGGGGGGTTTTTCCACGAAGATCCCCAAGGAGGATTCTTGAGGATTGGTCGCTGAGTGGCAACCAGAAACACCTCCAGTTATCGAAAAACCAAAAGAAACAAAAAAAATGAGAAGAAGAGAAGAGACGGAGGGCGAAGAAAGGGAAGATACAAGGACTCACCAAAACATAAAAGGAAGATTTTCTTAAAAACTTGAAGCGACTCCTTCCTCCAGAATGTTCAGAAGCAAGGATGAGTCTGCTGGCCTTGAGACTCCGGTGAAAGATTGGACAGTAGACATGGAAAGGAAATGGATCTCTGGTGAGGTTTCAAGCAAGGGCTCTTTGAAAAAATCTAAAATAGCAAAGTGAGAGAGGGAGAGAGGAAACCCATTTATATAGTACTCATTCCCATCATTTGGGCACGAAAAGCACGAAGAGGCGTATTTAATGCGCACGACCTCCGAAGTAGGGGAAAGCAGCTGAAGGCAATGATGAAGTAGTTGGGGTAGTTGCAGAACCCTTCGTCTCCTTACGACGCGTGTCCTCGGTGTCAGGAGATCGAAGGCTGGGGGGCAGTTGATGGAACATTTCCAAATACTCCAAGATGAAGACACGTGTCCTCGGCATCAGTAAATTCTTGTTACTGTAATCACAACACGTATCCATCGGATCACAAGTCCCTGTTCCCCCGAGGTACTGTTCATAGGGATTAATGACACCCAGTACGTTACGTACCGACACGTATCCCTCGGTCATATATGGGTACATTGGTCCCTACATGTATCACTTCCCTCGGTACTGAGATGTACCCGTCCATGGTGGTGTTCTCTGCTCCTGCAGAGGCTATTGATGTACAGGTCACTAGCCTAGACTAGGTTAGCCATCATGACCTCGTCTTACATAATTGGTGTCAGAAGGCACAAGAAGGCAGAAGACACAGCCAATGGGGAATAGGAGCGTGGCATATTGTGTCACATCAGAGACAAAAAAGACTGGATGCCCTTGCTGACACATGACTTGAAAAAGCAAGCATTTAGTTATACCATTCCCTTGATGAGACAACATTTAATGCGGTAAGGTTCGGAAGTGAAAGGTAATAAATGTCCCTAAGACTGGACATTTATTACATCCTTGCCGAGAGGAGCTCATTAAACAGTCAGCAGGCCGATGACGCAGCCTTGGTTGCTCGGGATCCCGAACAGTTAAAAGAGAAAATATTCCTCATAGAAATCAGTGCGCACGTTGCCCGTATGTAATGATCACCTACTGACTACACTGACAACAATCATGAGTTTTTGAGGTATAAATACTCTTCACAAAAGGCAAGACGATATGCAACGAAAAACCTTTTCTCAAACCTATACTCAGTGTTTTTTTATTTTCCTCTCTCAAAAACTAACTTGATCGTCGGAGGGGATACGTCGAAAAACACTCCGACGCCCTTCTAACTTGTCTTTTTCTGTTCCAGGAACCTCCCTCAACCTTACTGGACCGTTCCTTTGATCCATGAAAGTCACTCATTATCGTTCCAGGCCGCCAACGAATATCAACCTGTTCCAAACAGCAAGGTTGACCATTTGACTAACTGACTCGAGTTCATCACAAGAGAGATCTGTTATCGTGTTTATATTGTGCAAGATCCTGCACGCACACTACTCTTTCACNTCGTGTTTATATTGTGCAAGATCCTGCACGCACACTATTCTTTCACACACACACACACGAACATGCAACACACACTGTTTTGTGTATACGGTATACCGCCAACAACAAGAAGCATCTCCTCTCCCTCAATTTATAATTTGTCTCCCTTTCTCTCTATCTCTCACACATATTCCCCATTGTTGTTAGCCCACACAAAAGCCTTGCACACAAGTTATTTGTCTTTGTCTATCTTTTCCAAGACAAAGAATATTGTGTAGTCCACTTTTAGCTACTTGCAATGATTGATGTTTTTAGGTTCTAAAGTGAAATATTTCTTCGTCCGTCTTTCCAAGAGTTTGGGGACAAATTGATTCAATTTCAGTATATTTTTTTATTATATTTCTGATGTTAACAATTAATTAGGTCAAATTTTGTTCTTATCAGCTGTTTGATTTTTTTTTTTTTTTGTTGGAAACTGAGAGAAAACTTCGTATGTAGCAAAGGCAGAGAAAAGAAAGGTGGTATAAGAAAACCACCATGCTATCTCAAAATAAGAATAATTTTTTCTAAAAATAAATTATTTATTTATTCATGTTTAATTTTTGATTGAAATTAGGTCAATGATATTGTTCTACTTAATTTAGATGACAACTGTACTATAAATATTTTATGTCCCAAATTATTTGCAGAGACCTCAATAATAGCGTGAAAAATCCAGATGGATGGGACACGAGCAAGTGATGCCCAATGTATTGAGAAGTTGTGGTAGAATTCCTCCTCTGCACAAGAGGAAGGCACCACAGGGACTAGGTGCAACTTGGACTTTTCCACAAATTAAGGCATTTGAATTCAATATTATTATTGATCATGTTTAGTTTTGTCCATGATCTGACAACACAATTCATTTTTATCTACAATATGGATATAACTGCTTGAAAATATCAATTTCCATTAGGTTGTCCATTATGTGCAGGATGCCATTATTTCTCAAGAAAATTTTCACGGGGTCCTTGTCTCAAGGTATTGGCCATGTGATGGTAGAGATAGTTATGGTAGTGCAAGACTATTGCAAGTGATGAACGAAAGTTATTTATTTTTCTCTAAATCTTTATTTTTGTTGTTTCTAATATGTATTCATGTTCGGATTGTATTAATTATGATTGTTTACTTCTCATTTGATTTTTGCTTCTTTGTATATGAAATGATAAAATTGTGATTGTATTTATTTTCATTTTATTGTTTGGATTATTTTTTCTAAATTTAATGCTCATAGAGAGTGAAATTTGTTAGATTAAATAATGCCCATTTTTTATGGAATTAATTGAGCCCAGAAAATTATTTGGTCATTTAAAATGAATTATGTGCGTCACTTTTCTTGTACTTATGCTCATTTTTTTAATTTTCAATTTTTTGTTATATACTGTCTTTTATGCTTGGACAAATGTTTATAATTTTTTTAAATAATATAGTGTTCGTTTGGTAGACGTATTAAGAGGGAATTAAATATTAGATTGTATTATTTTTTATTTAATCAGGCCTAATACTNTTTGGTAGACGTATTAAGAGGGAATTAAATATTAGATTGTATTATTTTTTATTTAATCAGGTCTAATATTTTGTTTGGTAAACAAATTTGATACCGTATTAATTTCAAAAATGTGTACTTATCGTATATTTTTTATACTATAGACCTGTATTATGAAGGTTTTTTAATACCACCAAAAAAGGTGGTATTATAATTCAATTCAAACGTATTATTCTACACGTTTACTATTATAACCCCAAGTGATAAATTCAAGTTGTCATCAATGTAACAAATACTGATTGAACATATTTTTGTTTATTCAACATTAATATGATGAAATAATTTTCTAACTAAATAATTGATTGAATTAAATAACTACTGTCCAACGCTTATATTGCGTATTGTCAAATACTAGATAAAATTACGTATTATTCTAATACCATATTTAATCTTGTCTTTAATTCATTTGAATTGTATTAGACTGTATTATTTTATTTAATTCATTAATTTTTAATACGACAATCAAACAAGCACACGGACAATTAGCAGTAAAAATATTACAGTTGAGTGGGTAGTATAATAAATGGGTCATAGTTGAGGATGTCAAAGTATAATTTTATTCTCTCTGCCCCCTCCCTCTCTCTTCCATTTGAAACAAATCTCTGAAATTCTCAGCCTCTTCGATTCGGTCTGGTAGTCATCATGAATTTCTTAGCCCGAGCACTCAAAGCAAAATGTTCACTATTTACCCATTCCTCACAGAGGCGTCTACTAATCCCACACCCAGTAGCTATTCTCCACCATTCTTCACTCTACGCCACAAAAACCCCAAAATCCAGAAAACCCACAACCCTCGAACCTCAACAGTCATCATCGTCATCGTTAGAATCGACTGAATGGCCACGGCCTAGTGAGATTCCATGGCAATCAAAGGTTGTTAATACGGTGAATTTGATTGGCAATGTTAAAATTCCTGTACAGTTCCAAGCTTCTCCAGACGGCAAGTACTGGGCTGGCACTGTTATTGCACAAAACGATTCTGTTTCTTCTGATTTTCCGTCTTTCTGGTACTCTGACACATCTATATACAAGTGTGTGTGTGTGTGTGTGTGGATTGCTATGTGATGTTTGTATATTACTATTTGTTGTACGCGTACAATGTGTGTGAATCATTTTGAGCTATGATTTCAGTGTTTATCTTTTGTATTTTATCCATATTATCCTTCTTTTTTGATAAGAAATAAAACTTTCAAAAATTATCAAAACCCTAATAAAATATAGTGGAGAAGAAATTCACCTACAAGAAAAGAGTAAAAGAAAATAACGGTTTGCAATTGCTAATTTTTGGGTGACATAGATGTGACCCACTTGTATAATCATATATGGAAAAATTACTCTATTAGAAATTAAATTTTCCTTAGTAGTTCATGATTAGAATAGTCCAAAACGATTTAGAGGTCAAATTGTGTTGTCCAATTTTAGAGGAAGCAGGAAGGCATTAATTTGTGTTCTAATTCATAATATTGATTTGGTCTAAAATAGGAAGTCAAAAGTTTTTACATTGCTTGACATTTATAATTAAATTAAATATAGATTAATGTATAGATGGGTACAACGTTTTTTATCTTAATTTTGTGAACATAAATCATAGGCATGTAAGTAGTTTTACTGGATTTGCCCCCAAGTTTCTTTGAGCCCCGCAAAAAAAGACAATAAATCTCTATTAACTCTTCCAACTTTATCACATTTTTGATGGTGGGCGTTCTATTGGTTTCCAGCAAAATATAACACGTGCATGTCACGTGACTTTTTAAGGGAGTATTAAAGGAATTCTAGGTGAAAGCATGCATTTTACATGCTGAAATTTGGTCTATAATTCCACTTTGTGTTGATGTGTATATTTGATGAATAAAAATGCCAAAACAATTATTTTTCCTTCTAGTGTTATTTAAGGCATAAAACGAATCGAAGCGAACAGGTCTCTTGAGGGTCTAGGCGGGAAGCGGGAAGCGAGAAGTGAAGCGAGTGCTTCATTGAAGCAAAACGAATAATATAAAAAATAAGTGAATATTTTAGTTTCATACTTTGGTTACTCTTAAATATTCAAGTTTTAACTTTACAAATATAAAATATTTAAATGCAATCAAAATAATAAATATCAACATATTTTAAATAGACAATATATTAAATATTGAACATTATTGTATTTTAAAAATAATCAATTGACATAATCACGTCATCTAAATGTAAAGTTAACAAATGTGGGTTCGATTTCTACCGTGATTGATTAATATCACCACTAAACATAGCACTCACAAATTGATTAATCAAATTAATAGAGCATATATCAAATTGATTAACAAGAGCATTCACATCAAAGCAAAGCATTCAACATTATCTAATCATAATAAGACAGATTGTCATATGATATTGTTACATGAATTAATCAATTTATTTTATACATATACAAATATAGCATTATCTATGCTAAAGTTTGGTTAATGTTAAAGAAGGAGGAGGAGGAGGGGGAAAGAGGAGGAGAAAATAAAAGAATTGCAGTCTAGGCGTTCGCTTTTCTCGCCTGGCTCGCTTCTTCGTTTCGTCGCCTAAGTTCGCTTTTTCCTCGTTTTACTTAACCTTGCTTCGCCTTGGACGATCGAAGCTTGCTTCGCTTCGCTTCTCGCCTAGACTCACTTTTTACAACACTGTTCCCTTCAAAATAAATTATCTATCAAAATAACTCATCTCATCTCTATCTTTTCGTAGGATGATTTCTTTTTAAAAATCAATTTTCTCTCTTAGTTTTCAAGGAAAACTCTGTATTCCTCAAGAAAACCCATTTCTATCTCCCTCTTCCTCTCCATAACTCCCTCTTTCAAAAATTGATTCTCTCACTCATAAAACTCATTCATCGTGAAACTTTGCACTTAAGAAACTTGGGATTAACAAAAAATGTTAAACTTTAAAATTAAAAATAACTCATCAATGTCTCTCTTCCCACCCTCTTCCTTTCTCTAAAAATTAGGCACCATTGGCTTCCATCATCGGTACCCACCAAGCCACCACCATACCATCTCCACCTACATTCAACAAAGTCTGAGGAAGAAGAGTTTAAAGGCGCATTGCTCACTTTTCTCATAAAACATGTCTAACAACAATAGCCCATTGTATTCAAGTAGTGCCACAACAACTCAAATTTAACCTCGGATCCTTTGCTGGTATCACTAGATAATATCATTTGTGATCACCGACCCTTACAGTGAAGAGAATCTTTCGTCACAGTCTCAATTTTATAGAACCTTTGATTCAGGCACTCTATATTGTTTTTGGGTGTTTGGAATCGATTCTAAATGTTTGGTTTTATCGTAAAATATAAGGACTAATTCATAAGTCCCCAACAAATCAACCCAAAAAAGAGCATGAAATTGTAATTGCACAATCTAAAATATCAATCTGGATGGAAAACTTAAAGACGCCATCAAAATTATATTTTTTACTCTTTGTTGAAGGTGTAGAGTTGCAAGAGGAATTTAAATGAATATAGATAGACAACAAGTTTAGAAGAAGCTTTTACTTATAAAAAGAATAGTGTTATCCGCAACCTGCCAATAAGCAGAGATATGGAGAGAGAGGCAAGCTTTGTCAAAAAACTTTATTTGATTTACTTTATGAACTCCACTGGTTGTCCATGGATTATAGGTGAACTGGTATGGCCTGATCAAAACGTCAATTTTAATTACTCCAGGAGTACCGTTTTCAAAATTTTCGAATGGTCTAATTGTTGCCGTCTTTCTATTCATATCCCTTTGACTTCAGGGCCTTTACACTGCTTAATGTGCAAATATTCAAACCACTCCCTCTAGAGAAGGCAATGAAAAAAACTCACATAGTATATATCATACTTGAAATCCCTCCAATATTTCTGTACTGTCCCTTGTTGGTCGAGAGGGATGGAGGAGGCTATGTCAACCAAAGATGGTTATCGGTTCAAGGACATAAGGTGACCCTATTTTTAAAGAACTACAAATTTAGGAGAAAATTTTACCTATGAAAATAAGGGGAAAAAAGCTCTTCTTATTGAACCAGAACTTTTGGAGATCATTCTTAGGTTGAATTGGTTGACAACTCTTACAATTTTGTATTTTTATTTTGATATTTGAGGAAAAAAGTGAGAAGCTTTGTTTAGCATGGATACAATATCAAAATTTTCAAGTGCTCCCATTGCGTTTAGTTTGTTCACTAAAAAAGAATTTAGTGAGGATATTTTTGTCAATCTATAAGATTAAAGAGTGTACAACACCTGACTTTATTGTGTAACCCACAAAAACATTGATGAAAAGATCAACCATTTTTCCGTAGCTTGCTTATTGATTCCACTAATTCATTCTGTCAGTTTTTCTTGACTTGTTTCTCTTGTCTATTCAATAGTTTTCTAACTCATGCAGACTTATTTGCTAGTTTCTTTTGATAAATCAGGATTCCTGTAATATTTGAAGGTGATCTAGCGCACATTGCTGCATGTCATCTGAAAGAAAAAGATCGTGTTTATATAGCTGGACACCTTAGTGCAGATCCTCCACCATTTACATTAAGTCAAGGTCAAGCTAATGCACAGGTAATTTTAGGTAACCTATAATATTCATCAATTTAAAAGATGAAAATAGTTACTTTCACCCAATAAACTGAGAAGCAGCTTGGCTGAGGTGTAATTTTTTTGCAACATTGTTATATTAAAATAGTCAGTTGAGCTTGCTCAGAAGTTCTTACTTGGAATATACAAACCCTTTTTTTCTATACATCTTTTGGGGTGTGATAGTGGTTGAAAAATCTAGCTCTGAGTTTTTTGAGGTTCAATTTTCTTATATTTAAATGTTGATATTTTGTTGAAGCTAGTAGCTCCTTTGTATAATGGGAAACAGAGGGAATTATGTCTAAAAATTACCACTAGTTTTTTTTTTTTTTTCCGAGATTCTTGAAAATGAGGCTGGTTAGCATAGTTTTTTTCTGTCAATTTTAAAACATTTCTCGATCTTTTAAAGTGGAGGTGCTTGTTTATTTACCCTTTGTTTGTCCTCCGAAGTCTGAGCCCAAAGAGATTCTTTTGAGGGTAAAGCATCTTTATTTGTTTTTCTATACATGTAATTTATCTATTGCAACTCCACTTCTAGAAAGGATCTTGTTTTGTCACAGACATGGATACGATACGAAACGGATACTTAAACTCAACATTTCTAAAAAAGGTAGGATACGGATATCCTAGGGATACACTATAGTTAATTGTGTTTTATCTATAAAATTATATAATTTATCACAAAAATATAGAGATAATGACATATTATTCATAAGAAATTTAGTATTTTATGATAAGTAATTGTTATGTCTAGTCATCGAGTGTGAATTTTTAGACTAAGCATCATGATAGTCAATAATCATCAATTATTTTTAGACAACGTGTACTCAACATATATAATTTAAATGACCGTTATTGTTTTCTCAATTTTTCTTTTTTTAAAAACTTTATGCAACTTTTTCTTTTATTATCATATTTTGAGTATGACTTTAACGTGTCTTGTCTTGGTAATTATATGTGTCTTGTCTTGGTAATTATATGTTTTGTCATTATATAAGGTACTTATAGTCAAAATTTTAAGCTTTGTTGATCACTTGTCAACATATTTTTATTATTTAGTAATAGGTATGGTCTAAAGAAGGGTCGGACACATCACTAAAAAAGTGTCAGACACGTGTTCGAAATTAAAATTTATCATTTAATTCTAGACACGGATAAAAGAGTATTAGACACTTGTCCGAGAGGGTCTTTGTCCGACATGTATACATTACATTCTTGAGAGTGTCTGTGCTTCATAGGTCTAACTTATAAGTAAAAAAATTGCTTATAGAATCCTATGCTCTATGGAACATGGCATTACATTGTTTCATTTTTAAGAACATGTTGTCTCATGTGATGTTTGATAAAACTGAAATTTAGCTATTGAATGAAAACAAGCTGTTTGATTACTACAAGGAACTAAAGTTTGAAAATAATTAGTGTTTCAATTTTGCCCCTCCCACTCTTGGCTTAACATATATTTATCTAGGAAAAGACCACGTCATATCACTAATGTAACAAATGAATAAACGATAATCACTGATGATGCACAAATTGGTATTGCATAAAATCAACAGTCAAGTATATGTAAGGGTGCAATTAATGAGCAATAAATAGGCAATCAATGACAAAATAATAAATAAGGAAATCAACACCAAGATTTATAGTGGTTCGGTATGAGTGACTTACTCCACTCTTGGGAACGGCAGAGGTGGCCGGAGATTTTTATTGATAAATAATATCACCGGGAGAGTAACTTCGGGATATTACAATACTTTTAGGAGAGAGAAGTGATGGGTGTAGAGGTCTCAAAGTCATGTCAATGTGTTTCTCCTTGTGGAGAGAACTTACATTATATAGGTTTAGTATGGCGGTGAGGCAGTGATGTCATCAGGAGAGGGCTTCTACTATTTTAGTATGTTCAATCAAGATAAGATTAGATCTCCGTGCGTATCCCAATATTCTCTCCTCGTGCTCCTATTCAGCCGGAGGAGGATTGTGGGCTTGGACTTGAGTTGGTGGGTGCTGGACAAGAGATAAGCGGGCGAAGGACTCCACGAGGTTGCGTAAGAGATGGAGCATGAGACGAAAGAGGGAAAAGATCCCCTTGGGGTGGCCTCCCTTGGGCGGTGCCCTTTGGGTAGCCCCGTTGGGGTGTCCCCGTTGGACTCCTCCTTGACTTGTTGACTTGGGCTCCTCCTTGACTTGTTGACTTGGGCTCCGAGGTGACGTGGACATGTCTTGATTAATTGGGTCTGACTCAGTTAATTTCTTGTTTACCATTTGCCCCCCATGCCCCAAGTCTCTGACTTTTGGTGAAAGGAAGGAGTTGAGGGCATGTGCTTCGTCTTCACCTGAGTAGGAGTTTTCTTGCTCCCACGGTGCTTTGCTTTCCATTTTTTGGAGAATGAGACCTTTGTTGATGGCGTCACCGGGAGAAGGAAATAGAGGGTCCTTTGCGGTTTAGGTGCATTACCCCCTTGGGCATTGTTTTTTTTTTTTTTTTTCTCTTCTTGGTTTTTTCTTTGGGCGTTGGCCCTCTTTTCCTTTTTTTTTTTTTCCTTTCTTTTGGGCACCACCTACCATGACCCATCTCTCTTTTTTTTTTTTTTCCTTTGGGCGACGCTTGCTGCTTGCTAGCTCCCCTTCTCTCTCTCTTTTTTTTTTCTTTTTCCATTTAGGCGACGCCTGTTGCTCCTCTTCTCTTTTTTTTTTCCTTGGGCGTTGGCCTTTCTCCCCTATTCTTTTTTTTTCTTCTTGGGCGCTGCCCTTTCTCCCCCATTCTTTTTGTTTTTTTTTTTTTTCTTTTGGGCGTTGCCGCCTTTTGCTTTCTCTCTTTGGGCGCCGCCTCCTTCATTTTTTTTTTTTGTGGCCTCCTTGNTTTTCTTTTGGGCGCTGCCGCCTTTTGCTTTCTCTCTCTGGGCGCCGCCTCCTTCATTTTTTTTTTGTGGCCTCCTGGGGCGCTGGCTCCCTTTAGGCGACGCCTGTTGGCTCCCCTTGGGCGAGTGTGGGAGCTGGGCGGCGTTTTTAAGTGACAGGGACTGTTGGGCGTCAGGCACTGGGCTGCGCCAGGGCTATTTGCTAGCTTGGATGGCGCCAGGAGGGGACTGGGCGGTTCTTGACCTTGTTTCTAATTTCAGGACCTCCCGACAGAGTGATGATGAAGGTGAAGGTTCTCTGTGCATTTAGGGTGTTGTCTTCCCCTCCTCCTAAGAGGATGAGGTGTGATGCCCCTAGTACTTTTCGGTCGAGATCCGATGACCAGGTTGTTTCTCAGCAGTGGGATCCGGTGGTGCCCCTACTCCTTCCCGGACTGGGACTTCTATGTGTATTAGAGTTAGCCCTTGTACCGCTGTAGGAGTTGAGACTCTAGTGCAGTTTTTACGGGAATTGTGGCTTCACCCTGCTTCTAGTAGTGGCTCGATTGCAGACGACCTAAGCTTCAAAAGTGTGCCTGACAAAAATAATGTTATCTTGACATTAAAATATCTAACATAATTACCTAGAGAGAGGCAGGTTGTTTGTATGAGAGCAAAGTCAGAGTTGTGGGCGTCCCGTGACGGGATTGCATGAGTCGAGGCCGAGCTACGTATAGTCTCGGGGATGACCACCGTGACAGAGGCTTACAAGGTGACTACTTGTGCTCTTAAGAGTAGAGTCATTGGTCAAGTTATGTATAATTCAGGAGATGGCTCCATAGCAGAGGCTTACAAGGTGACTACTTGCGTGAGAGTAGAGTCATAAGTCGAGCTACGCATAACTCGGGAGATGGCTGCCGTAGTAGAGGCTTACAAGGTGATTACTTGTGCGAGAGCAGAGTCATAGGTCGAGCTTCTTTGCGACTCGCAAGAGAGTGCAAAACTGGAGATATAGACTGCTGAAGAGCAGTAGGTGCTTGAGCGGCAGGCACGAGAAGATGCCGCAGAGCTTGCACGGCAGGCACGAGAGGATGTCGTGAAACTGTTAGGGCTTGAGCGGTAGGCACGAGAGAATGCCGTTGAGCAGTTGAGGCTAGCGCATAAGAGGGCTGCTTAACTTGAGGTTGATTTTCGAGTAGCACTTGAGAGAGTTGCTAGGGCAGAGGTTTGCTCCATAGAGATGGAGGAGACGAGGAGGGCGCTAAAGAGTTGGGCGTTTGGCGCTGGGCACCTGCTCGGTGTTTAAGTCTGAGCGCCTGGTGCTGGGCGCCTAGTGATGAACGCCTGGTGGTGCTGGGCGCCTAGTGATGAACGCCTGGTGGTGCTAGTGCCTAGTGCAGGGCGCCTGAGTCTGGGTGCTTGTTGCTAGCACTTGGTGTTGGGCGTCTTTGGGTGTAGACACCGAGGAGCTCTGGACACGGATGCTGCTGGGTATGGACGCCGAGGGTTACTGGGCACTGCTGGGCACGGACGTCGAGGGGCGATGGGCGCCGCTGGGCATGGATACCGAGGGACGCTGGTGCCAAGAGTGGAGAGGTCCTTCTTGGGTGGCGTGCACAAGGTGGGCAACAGTGAGTCTGGTGGGCGATAGCCAGCCTAGGTGCTGTCGACTTGGGTGATGCCAACCTGGGCGGTGCCTGCTGCTTGGCGCCTGAAGGTGTGTGTTTGATAAGAGGGCCACTGTCAATTTCTCTGATTTCGTCTCCTATGAGACACCAATAGTAGTTGGTGACGGAGAGAGCCTTGATTACATTGGTTGTGGGTCAAGGAGTAGTGACTGATCGTCGGGAGTTTAACGACTGTTGTCCTTTTGTTTACACTTTGTTGTTAATCCATAATCTGACTTTTATAAGCTATTTGTAAATTTGAGGAAAATAAGACAATTCTGAACACAATAATCTTCGCAAAATTTTATTTCATAAGATAATAAATAATAGAATAAATAAGCTAAAATAATAAAGGATAGATAAATTTTCAGGTGCTCGGTGTCCCATAGGTGGGCCGAGGCTTTCTTGGCGGAGTTTAAATCACCTTCTCCTCCTAGCCCTTAGGAGATCGTTTAGATTTCTTCGAGGGTTTGTTGGCGTTCTCTGTCATCCTAGTCCAGACCAGGTGGCGGGGTTTGTCCTTTTCCAACAACGTACTACCTCAAATGACCACGTTGTATGAGCTCTTTGATTTGCCTTTTAAGATCAAAGCAGTCGTCCGTATCATGGTCGTGGTCGCGGTGGAAACGGCAGTACCTACTAGAATTTCTGTGATTTTGGGCGGACTTCATTTTTCTGGGCCAACGGAGCGTGGGATCATCCTGTATTTGGAACAGGATATGCTCTACGAAAGTATTGAGTGGCGTGAAGGTTTGTTGTTCTCTTAGAGGTGGGGACCAAGGCGGTCCTTGGCATAGATTTTCTCTGTCCTATTCCTCTTGTTCTCTGCTTCTCTCCTGTCTTTGTGGGTATCCTTCCTCTTTTCGTCCCCATGGGAGGACTCACCTTGTCTGGCCTTGGTGACATCTTCGGCGTTCATATATTTTTGTGCCCTTGAAAGCAACTCGGGCATGCTGGATGGTGGTTTCTTGAGGACAGAGAACATGAAATTGGAGGTGCGCTGGCCGACGATTAAGGCGGCCAGGGCTACTTTATCATCTGGCTCCTCAATCTGGAGAGCCTCCTCGTTGAAGTGGGCAAGGTAGTCTCTAAGGCTTTCGTCCCCGTCCTGCTTAATGGTGAGCAGGTAAGTCATTGGTTTCTGATATCGGCGTCCCCCAATGAAGTGGGAGACAAAGGATCTACTCAATTCAGCAAATGAGCGAGTTGAAGAGGGCTTGATCTTTGCAAACCATTGGTGAGCAGACCCTTTCAAGGTGGTGGGAAAGACTTTATACATGATTTCCTCAGTCATGTTGTAGAGTTGTATGAGGGACTTATATGTGTCAAGATGGTCGAGGGGGTCTTTGGTACCGTCAAAGATCTCGATGGTAGACATCTTGAACTTCGACGGTGAAGAATAATTGACTATATCAGTAACAAAGGGTGTATCGATGTGTCTTACCAGGTAGTCCACTGTCTCGAGCGCCTGTACCTTGATGGCGTTGAGGGTATCACCGAGTTGGTTTTGTACCTCTCTGATCTTCTCTTCCCATTGATTAGAGACATCCTCAATCGGGTGGTGATACTTGTTTTTATGGTCACCATATTGGCTTTCTTCGTCTTCGTTCTCGTGCGGATGGGGTACACGAGAGCTCCTTGTGCTCTGAGGAGGGATTGCTGGGCGAGGGGTGCCCTGGTGTGGCCTTGGGGTATTCTGGCGAGGGTCCCCATGGTGAGGGGCTGCCTGACACCCCGAAGGGATGGGCTGCTGCTCCTCTCCTATTGGAGAGAATGGGGCTCCTCCCACAGGCCGAGGGGCGACGCTTTCCTGGGTGAGCATTAACTAAATGATCTGTTAGTTCTGTTTTACCAGTAACTGCATAATCTGTAAAAGTTGTTGCTGTTGTCTAGTCGCAGTAGCAGATGGTTCTGAGGGCACAAGGGGAGGCAGAGTCTCCTCCCGGTGGACCGGGTTGTTGTCTCCCAGTTGTTGACTCATTGATCGGGTTGTGATTGTCATGGATTTGAAAGAGAGTAGGAAAACTAGTCGTTTCCCACAGACGACGCCAAACTGATGATGCACAAATTGGTATTGCGCAAAATCAACTTGGTGTCCCCTTAAGGGTGTCCCCCTTGGACTCCTCCTTTACTCGTTGACGTGGCTTCCTCCTTGACTTCTTGACTTGGGCTCCGTGGTGACGTGGGCCTCTCTTGATTAATTGGGTCTGACTTAGTTAATTTCGGGTTCATCAATCACTACGATCACATTATATTCCAAATTTAACAAGCATAGTTATCAAATTAATTCAAGTTATATGGATCTTTAAAAGAAATCTTAATGGTCTCAAATTTAACAAACATAATCAAATGAAGGCATGTGAAAGAATAACAAAGAACTCAACTAATAGAAACGTAAAGCAATAAAACAATCTGAAGCAGCCAAAACAATGTGAACGGCTGCCGATGGATGATGTTGAGAGACCTCTGCTGCGATTTTGGTTATTAGATAAAACATTTAAGGGCAGAACTGTCCTATCTCGCTGAGCGTGCTCAGAGTTTAGCAACAAGTAAGAGATC